TGCTTCAGTCTGCGCCTTACTAGATGGAGTGGAGTGGAGCAGATATATCTGTTCTAAAAAGTCGTAGGTTTTTTGTTTTTATCTATATTTCATCAAGTAGGTGTGACAATATAGGTGGGTACCGGTGGCTCAGGACCGTGCTTTGTGGCATTCCTTGGTGGAGGCCTATGTTCAGAAGTGGACTAATGAAGGGTTGTAATGATGATAATAATGATAATGAAGTGTGACAAACGAGCATCCAGTCCACCGTTTGTAATTGGAGGCTGTGCCTGGTAGACAACCACATCTATCGTTAAGAATCCTTAATAATCAAAATCCACGTGCGTGGTCATCTCTGAGTTCTAAAGGAGGCCACTAGATCTTACTGGCATATCTCTTAGTCGACAGATTCTTTTAAGTCCTTTTTATTTTGATTCCTTGCTACAACAGGTCCCATCCGCAGAGATCGTGATCCTTGGCGATTTTAACGCCCACCACGCCGAATGGCTCGGTTCACGTTTAACCGATCATGCGGGGAGATCTGTTTATGACTTTGCCTTGGCATATGGTCTGACACAACTGGTTACATCGCCTACGTGGATTCCAGATGTTGAGGATCATACACCTTCCCTGTTGGACCTTCTGCTGACCTCTCATCCGGACGGATATCAGGTTTCCGTCGATGCCCCTCTTGGCTCTTCGGACCATTGTCTGATCCGGAGTGTGGTGCCACTCACGCTCCCCTCGCGGTTGCGTTCTGCAGGTTGCCGCCGTGTTTGGCATTACAGGTCGGCGGATTGGGACGGAATGCGGTCTTTCTTTGCTTCCTACCCATGGGGGCGGGTTTGCTTCTCGCCGGATGATCCCAGCGCTGTTGCTGACTCTGTCACTGATGTAGTGCTACAGGGAATGGAACTATTTATTCCATCATCTGTGGTACCCGTCGGAGGCAGATCTCAGCCTTGGTTTGGTCGCTCCTGTAAGACTGCATTACGCAGTAAGCAGGAGTGTTATCAAGCCTGGGCTGCGGCTTCGGTGACTCGGGATGTAAACACCAGCACACTCAAAAAGAAGTATAACTTCGCCTCCAGGTCCTTCAAAAGAGTTATTGCCAAGGCAAAGTCAGAGCACATAGGCAGAATTGGCGAGAAACTAGTACGCCTTTCTTCGGCAACCCGTGCATTCTGGTCTCTCGCCAAGGCTGTCCAAGGGAATTTCTGTAAGCCATCACTACCACCTCTGCACAGGGAGGACGACTCACTGGCCCACGACGCAAAAGAGAAGGCCGACCTTTTAGGTTCCCTTTTTGCGTCCAACTCGACTGTTGATGACGGGGGGAACACACCGCCGACCATCCCGCGGTGTGAGTGCTCCATGCCTGATGTGCGATTCTCACAGCGCTCGGTTCGCAGAGCACTCCTCTCCCTTGACATCCACAAGTCGAGTGGGCCTGACGGAATCCCCCCAATTGTGCTGAGGACGTGTGCTCCGGAGTTGGCACCGGTTCTAACGCGTCTTTTCCGGTACTCCTACTCCCTAGGCGTAGTTCCGAAATCATGGAAGACAGCTTTTGTCCACCCGATCCCTAAAAAAGGCGACCGCTCAGATCCGTCCAACTACAGGCCTATCGCCATCACCCCCTTGTTCTCCAAAATAATGGAATCCGTTGTTAACTGCCACCTCATGCGGTACCTTGAGGATCACCAGCTGATTAGTGCCCGCCAGTACGGTTTTCGTCGGGGTCGATCAGCTGGTGATCTTCTGGTCTACTTAACTCATAGATGGGCGTTGGTAGTAGAGTCCAAGGGGGAGGCATTGGCCGTTAGTTTGGACATTGCGAAGGCCTTCGATCGGGTTTGGCACAAAGCGCTTCTTTCGAAGCTCCCTTCCTATGGGCTTCCCGAGAAATTATGCAATTGGATCACCAGCTTTCTTGCAGATCGGAGCATCAAGGTCGTTGTAGACGGTGCATGCTCCGACTACAAGCCTATTAACGCTGGTGTTCCACAAGGCTGCGTGCTATCACCAACGCTGTTTCTTCTGCATATCAATGATATGTTGCAAGCTGGTAGCATTCATTGCTATGCAGATGACAGCACTGGTGATGCTCTATACACCGGCCGTGCCAATATTTCTCGGGAAAACGTCACCGAGTACCGGAACAAACTTGTGTCTGAAGTCGAGTCTTTGCTGGACAAAGTCTCGGATTGGGGGCGACTAAATCTAGTCCAGTTTAATCCTCAGAAGACACAAGTTTGCGCGTTTACCGCTAAAAAGAACCCCTTTGTCGTATCTCCTCAGTTTCAAGGTACTCCCCTTGTTGCCTCAGCCAGTATCGGAATCCTCGGCGTCGACATATCGAGTAGCGTGCAGTTTCGTGGTCACTTGGAAGAGAAGGCCAAATTGGCCTCTAAAAAGCTTGGTGTGCTCAGCAGAGCGGGACAGTATTTCATGCCGGCTCAACGCCTGCAACTTTACAAGGCGCAGGTTCGGCCTCACATGGAATACTGTTCCCATCTCTGGGCTGGGGCTCCCCAGTGCCAGCTTCTTCCACTTGACCGCATCCAGCGCAGAGCGGCTCGAATCGTCGACGACTGAGTCCTTTCCGATCGGCTCGACTCATTGGCACTGCGAAGAGATGTTGCGTCTCTTAGCATTTTCTTTCGCATTTACCATGGGGAGTGCTCTGAGGAATTGTTCGGATTAATCCCAGCCGCCAAATTTCACGAACGCACATCGCGGCAGAACTCCCGATACCATCCACACCATCTGGATGATTGGCGGTCCACCACTGTGCGATTTAGAAGATGTTTTCTTCCTCGCACAACTTCCTTGTGGAATAGTTTACCACCAGCGATTTTTCCGGACCGATACGACTTAGGGACCTTCAAGAAAAGAGCCTACTCCTTTTTAAAAGGCCGGCAACGCATCTGCAATTCCCCTGGTGTTGCGGTTGTTCATGGGCGGCGGTAGTCACTTACCATCAGGTGAGCCGCATGCTCGTTTGCCCCCTCTCCTATAAAAAAAAAAAAGTGACCACCAAGTAGCAAATATTATATACAGGAATACTTACATGGAGCCCCTGGGAATGAGGTAATCATTACATTATAGATACATAATTATAAATTCTTCCTTTACAAAAAAAAAGAACTCGAGCTGGGTCTCTTTGGAGAAAGTAAAGTAGACTTTTTAGTTTAGAACTTAATTTAAAAGCTACTTAGTGTGTGGGAAAATATGTGCTCCCCACTGAAGCCTACAATCTAGGAAAAATCCGAGAAATATGACCGAGATATCGAAACCTGTTATTATTGGGTAGGTACCTACTCTATAAATTACTTACTGTGTTACACAGTGGGCAGAAGTGATAATGATTCGTGTGTATAAACTTAGTAGTCGATTGTAAAGTATTATTTTTCTAAATTATTATTCGCATCTTTTTTGCTATTTCATACGTACACTTACACTTTCTTTGATACATTTGGTAAGAAGCACAACTCTCTATTAAATATCGTAATCAAAATCAGTCCATTACTACAATAATATAACTTTGCAGCCTAATATGGCACACACAATCTTTCTAAGCAAGTGTCGTTATTGTTGGGAGCAGGAGGTGGAGGAGGGAGAGGTATACAGCGGGCGGAGCCGTACAATGCCACTAATGTTAATTACCGTCCGTCGCGGGGAGTGTCCGCTCGGTTATGGCACCACCTTAACCACAGCCGGCCAACTGGATTACGAGTTAGATCTATTGGAGTGTCAAACTATATAACGTAGGCAGAATTTTTAAAATTAAAAATGTTATAATTGCCACGTTTGCAGTTTGGGGTATTGTATCACAAGTGTGATAATATATTTATTATTTAATAAATAGGTAGGAACCTTAAAAATTAAATCGTGATAATTCTAAAGTTACAATTAATATGAATGAACCAAATAAACAGACCACAGAGTAAATGATCCTACTGGATGGTATTAAACACATATCACATTCAATTATTCTCACGCGTAAGAATATCTTATGCGTTACACAAAATATATTAAGATAGATACATAATTTTAATACCTAAGCCATTGATTTCAAGTGAAACTAAATCGTCATTGATATAACAGATATAACAGTGAAACATGAGTGAAACATTCTTGACGTTAAGATGATTTAATTGTAGTTTAGTAAGAATAGAAAGTATGAAGTCATTTTTTAATCAAAATTGCTGCAGGTATTTTCATTCTGGTTATTATTTTAGATTGCAATAACACGATATTAAATCACAAAGATGTTACAAAGCCGATCTGTGGACGATACGTTTCTTCGAAGGTGCTAACTATTGATATCTACTATTCTCAACGCCCCAAGCGTTGAAATTACCTACGGCAATTTCTCCTCCATCCATCTATTACAGCCTATAAAAATCCACTGCTAAACATAAGTCTCCCTCATAGATTGATTGCTCATGAGGGGATTTCGGGTTGTCAACCGCAGTTTTTTATTATTTTGAGTTGTTTTCAGGACGATGCTGCTGCCCATCTCCTGTTTTAGTTTCCCTCTGCCGCCCCTTATGACACCCTCGGAACGATATGGGGAAGTGGATATTTTATTTAAACTGCCACTGCATCATGGCCAAAATTATTCTCACTGAGGGATAAACTTATGTCAGCTCTCGAAATTTTTTTTATTAATTTTATTTATACGAGTAACATAACCTTTTTACATAAATTCATAGATACCCGAGGCCCGAGCTAGTATTACTGTGTTTCAGGAACTAGAATATTAATAAGCTTATGAAAAACAATAATAATGTATTCCAAACCGATTTCGGTCACGGCGGCGTCATCTGCGAAGGGCAAGATTACAGTGACCGAGTGTTTGCGCAAGCACAGATGCACTCTCTATTCTTTCACTCTCATAAAACGATGGGACAGTAAACCGATACGACCGGAGAGAGATCAGGCACAGGGTCAACTGATTTACGTGCTTTCTAAGGCGCGGGGTGATTCAAAATGTTATTCAAAGTCCAACATACCTGCACTCTGGCCTCGCTGAGATCCAGCCGCAACGCGAGCTCCTCCCTCGTGAACACGTCGGGATACTGCGTCTTGTCGAAGGCGCGTTCCAGCTCGTGCAGCTGGTACGTGGTGAAAGTGGTTCGGCTGCGACGCACCTGCTGGCAGTTTCCAAACGTTACGATCAGGTGGCTTATTTGGTCAATATACTGGAGCTAATATTTGCAAAATAATCATTTGTTGGATATGGGGACTTTTTGTTACACTGAATTGAACCATTTCTTTTTTTTTTAAATGGTTAATCTGAATGACAGGGTGAGAAATAGTGTGATAAGAGAAAAGTGTGGTTTGCAAGATGATGTTTGATTAAAAAAGGAATGCTTCGGTGGTTTGGTCACGTAGAAAGAATGAACGAGGAAAGAGTGACAAAGCAAATTTATGTTTCAGAAGTGAACGGCAAAGTCGGGAAGGGACGCCCTAGACGAAGATTTATCGACAAAATCGGCGATACATTGAAAATGGGCCAGATTAGGAGTACCCTTAACCGATGAGCGTGTATGCGTAAATATATGGACGTAAAGGAGGCGAAAGAGGTGTGTCAGGATCGCGCCAAATGGAAGTCCGTAGTCTCTGCCTACCCCTCTGGGTAACAGGCGTGAGTGTTCGTATTGTATTGTATTTGTATTGAACCGGCAACAATCCACCTAAGTAAATAAGTGTAAGTGGCTACTGCAGTTCACAAATTTGCAAATAATTGCAAGCAAAGAAGCTTAGAGATGCCTCTAACCTTCTACCAGACGCCTCTGATTTTCATCCTTCGAACTGGAACATGGCTTTAAATGACTGCTTTCATCGTGCGTGCGGAACATTGCTATAGAAGTTACGTTTACTCCAGGAATACGTAAATGTGCGCCATATGCTTGGCGTTGACGTAAAATACGGTGAGCAAGACGGCATATCAAAGACATGTTGCAGCATGGTTGTATCACATACGTGATACAACCATGCTGCAACATGCATCTATATTATATTTTTAGCACGAATGATTCGGCTTGCCCGGGGTAGGATCACGCTGTCACAGAATACCAGCGCAAAATAGCAGCATAATGCTGCTGCGTTTTGCATGGTGAATTTAGAGAACCAGATACACTTTTTACTGGAAACCAGGCATTCAATCTTAGCCCTCAAGAGTGACAACGTTTCTGATTCTTTATTTGGGATAGAAGTAGATGAGAGTCCATGTCCAAAGCATCCACTTACCATCAAGTGGAATGTGTTCTTTTTTGTTACCCTTATTCTATTAAAAAGTGTAATGCGCCAATACGCATTAAGGAATCGCGGCGGATTCTTCTCGGCTTCAAAACCTCACAAATTGAATTCCAGCAGTTGGAATAAAACAGGCTGCTACTTTTTTTAAACTATCTCTTTTATAACTAAGGAACTAGCGGGCCCGGCAGACGTTGACCTGCCATGGAAATAAATACAACCTAGAATCCGATCGCAGTGCCACCTACCGGGTTCATTGTGAATCTAAACCATAGATGGACCCACTCAAACAGACAAAAAATCATCAAATTGGTCTAGCCGTTTAGAACTGTAACGATAGATAATACGTGAAACGTTACAATTTATTATATTCTTTCGTTTCAGTCAACTTTACTTGGATAGGTTCCCATAAACATCTGTTAGGGGCTATTAAATAACCCCCTGTCAAGCAATTAATTAATCATCCGAATCAAATTGAAGCAAATTTAAAGACCGCGCTGGTTCCACGTGATTTGGATGTTTGTACCCTTTTATATTGCTGTAGTTAATACATAGGTTAACAAGTTAACTTTTTATTGTTTGAAACATTATTTTTATTCTTTTACAAATGATATATTATCATTTATTATAATTTATTCTTCTTCTTTTTTACTAGCTCATTAAAATAAAACAGCCTGAACATGTTAAACAACAGTACACAGTACACAGTAACAGTCGGTTCCATTATAAATTAACAATTTAAAAATGATTTATTCGTAACAGCCTATCAAAGTTCACTGCTGACCATAGGCCTCCTTCATAGATTGTCACAAAAGAGGGATATTTGCCACAGTCGCCACGCTTGGCCAGCGCGCTGTTAACTGCAGTTGTTAAATTTTTTTGAGTTGTTGTGAGAAATATGTTGCTTCCTATCTTCAGTTTCTATTTCCCTCTGTCGCCTCACAACACCCACGGGATGGTAAGGGTTAGTAGATTATTTTACGCTGCCATTACACGGCGGTTATTATTGTTTTAGTAATGTTAATACTCTAGGCAAAAGTCAGTTAAGCTCTAATTTACGACATACTTCACGTTGACGGAAAACAAATGCAGCGTATTATAGCTTCAGAATGAATAGGTCGGCTCGACCAAGGAAAGAACCACTCGCACAGAATATCAGCGTGCAATAGTAACTTAATGTTGTTGTGTTTCGTATGGAGATAGAGATACATATATCCATAGATATATAATGGCGGTATAACCAACTCATTCATTTTCATCAGCGTCAAAGTTGTGAGACGTCTGGTACTGAGACCGTCAATCCTGCCGATCAATCGTGACTACTAAGTCAAATCCTCCGTGCAACGGGTATCCCTTGAACATGAAGTCTGAAAACTTTGTAAAATTCAGAATAATGTCCTCCAGACCGAATTTAGATCAGTCTCAACGAAGACTAGGCATCTATACAAGGCAAGATTAAAGTGCCCAAGTGTGCACTCTCTGTTCTCTCACTCTCATAGTCCGATGGGACGTAATCCGACACGATTGAAGAGAGATCAGGCGCAGGACGTCTTCACGTGCATTCCGAGGCACGGGGGTGAAACACCGCCAACTACCTTACTCCGGACAAATCATCAGTATACTATTACATCAGCAAGTCACCTTGCGCGGACGTCCAGCGTCGAGGGCATCCATGTGTTCGCCGTGCTCGTGCTCGTGCTCGTGCTCGTGGGTGTGCGTGAGCTCGCCGTCCTGGTCGTTATCGTGATCGTGATCGCGATCGTGGTCATGGTCGTGATCGTGATCGGGATCGGAGTCGGATTGCGTGCCGCTTTCTGTCTTCATCTCCACACGATCTATCGGAAAAAGGACAGTGTCGAACATTAATTTACATTTATGGATGATTATAATCACTGGAAATTAGGTAATTGCTACCAAGCTATTTCTAGTTTGTTTTGTGTTGTTAATTATTGTGTAGCATAATATAATTATGATTGTAAACTGTTATTTATTCAAAATTCAAAAATAAGCTGGGTTTCTTGCTGGTTGTCCCAGGACAGAGGTATTTTCCGAACTAGTGCTAAATTAAACATAAGAGTGACTTTTCATAAGTATTATTTATAATATATATTGAAAACGTTTCTGTTTCTATTACATTTGTCTTATCAAATTTATGTTACCAAAAACATATACAAAAGTATCATAGAATAAGCACATTGTCATGACATTCAATCAATAATATCGAGAGAATGTGTTTCATATGGTGAGTGTAGAGAACCGGAGACCCATTTTACTGGATACGACTCATTCCATCTCACGGGTGGGTATTATAAGGAATATTACAAAACTGCTGACATTCTTTGAAAAAAAAACCATTAAGGAGAAAGAAAGAAAGAACATTTAGCTCTTCTTTATACATAAAAATGCATAGAAAAGGCTTACCCTTGTTACAAACAGTTCGTTCAACAACTTTATACAACCTTAACGAACAACTTAAATTTTACCAACTTTAAGCCGAGGTTTGTTTTTAAATCAGTCTTTTGCATAATTAATGATTTTTTAATATTTTTTTTTGCACAAATTAGCAAATCTTTAGTGAAAGCAAAGAGTTCAAATACTGAAATCGGAATAAGACAAAACCCATTAATTCGTTAATTTGCAATTTAATACAAAATATTATTCTGCTTTTTGATAAGATGAGTCAGTTATCATAATTTAAAATTTCCAGAATTAAAACAGTCGGATGCCTCGTCAACCAAACGTGATAATATTATTGAAAGTCTTTTTATAGAATAAGGGAGACAAACGAGCACACAGTCCAACTGATGTTAAGTGGATGTTGTGACCCATAGAAATCAAAATGCAGTTGCGTCTCAAATTGTGAAAACTTCTATATCCCGACAGTGGAATTACAGTCCGCTGATGATGATTATGGATGGAGCACAATTGATTAATATTTGACAGCTTCGTGGCACAGTAGCTTTTTTTTTGTTGCATTGAGGACCTTGGGTTTGAATCCCACACGGAACAAGTATTTGTTTGGCCTATGGCCTACAAATTATTTTTCTACATGTTTGGCTTTGTGCAATTTATGTACCAAAACTGCCTCGACGATGCAGTAGAAAATCTTAGTGTTGAAATTAAGATGTTTTTTAATTTCAATAGCCTCACGTATCATCCTTGGCAGGAATCGAAGTTCTTTCGCGAGAATTTGTTCCTGCCAAAGATGATACGTGAGGCTATTGAAATTAAAAAAAAACATCCTAATTTCAATAGAGAGGGAGGCTGGGTACTACCAGCTGCTTGGGATCCTGTAATTAATAAAATTAAAACTAAACCCAAGAATTCCACTGCAAGACTTCAAGATACAATAAGTTCATTCTGCGTAGATTGGACCAAAATTAATAATTAAAAAAAGCTGAAGGTACTCCGGGTTAACTCTGACATCGGAACGTCAATCACCTTAGTCCCCTGTGACCATGGGTACTGGGAAGCACCCGAAACGTCGGGAATTAATAAAAATAAGAAAAATAAGTTAATTAAACGCAATAAACTCCGTTAAAGCAGTTTTATTCAATGTGTAGTTTGTATAAATATAAGAAATCATTAAGTTAAAGATATTTTTACTAAGATCACATATCTGTACAATTAGTTCTACTTTCATTACAATCACACCTTTTTGTGCGATTCAAAATCACCTCCACGTGTAGATTCGCGTTCAATGGAAACGTTCTTCAAGTAACCTTGTCTATTTAGATTGTCGTCATTGCGGGGAATAACGACTTACATTTATTTTCATGTGAAAGGTATTGTTGAAAACGAAAATAACTTATTTTTATCGAGATATTTATATTGACAAACAAACAATTTTATTTTTCCTTACAGCCTATTAAAATCCACTGCTGAACATAGGCTTCCACTATAGATTTCCTCATAGGGGGATATTTGCAATAGTTGCCACGCTTGCCAAGCGGGATGGCAATGGTAGTTATTTTTTTTAAATTTTAATCGTTATTACGAAGACGATTGATTTGTTTTCTGTCGCCTCTTACGACACCCGCGGGATGATATTTGCCATTATGACATTATATTTTGTAAAGAGGGAGGTCCACGTCCAGCAGTGAATTATTAGCTGATGAAGAAGACACGTGATATATAAAACAAGTTATGATGAAAAAAAATAACAAGTTGGAAAAGTAAAAGTTTAGTCATTCAGCCATTATCTTAAAGTAAAGATTTTGCTTGCTAAATATTTAGGGATAAGGTATTCGGAAATCAATCTACACGGGACGTAAAATATTATATAATTAGAGGGTCTTTTTTTAAACTAAGCTTGACTAAGATAGGGTTAGTGTAAGTGAATCGATCACCCCGTTTTGTCCCGTGGTGGGTGACGAAAGAGGTGACGATAGAAAATATCAAATATATCTTGTGGCTTGCGATATATGAAATATAGTTTTAACTATTTAAAAAAAAAAATTTTTTTAAATAACCAGACTGACAAAGGGTGTTGAAATAGTAAGAAACGCCTGGCACCAGGATCGTCAGTCCGTCTGCCAAACGTGTCGATTAATCTCTCCTATATTGGAATGAAGATGAAGAAGAATTTTTACACAAGTATTTAATGTTATTATTGTGTGGATTTATGACGAGAAAATATCTACAAACTTAATTGTATGATGCGATGGTATCCATTTGAATTACCATCTAAGTTGTTGACTTCTTGTCAGTTGACAAAAATATAAACATATATAAACTCACGCTTGTCACCAAGAGGGGTAAACAGAGACTACGGACGTCAATTTCACACGATCCTGAGACATCACTCTTACCTCCTTCACGTCCTTATTCTCGTACCTACGCATATATGCTCGTCAGTTGAGAGTACTCTGAATTTGGCCCATCTTCATTATATCGTTAATTAATCGACAATTCACCGATAACTTTAAACCTTTAGGGTTATGAATAAAGGGTGTTCATTAATACCGCTATTTATGTCTTTTTCAAAATAGTAAATTGAAAATGCCCATTGCAATACCGGATCGGATGTTCTCGCCGCTCCCCTGTACCATAGCATAGCAAAATAACGAGCATTTAGTCGCTTGTAATCTCATGGCTGTGTATTGTGCCGTTATAATGTAAGGATTATTGCAAAGCCGCTACAAAAATACAATTAAAATAAATAAATAGTGCGACTAACGTCGACTGACGTTAAGTGCTTAACAAAAAGCGTGTTTTGTTTGCCTTCAACATGAGCTCCCGTGCGGTACGACCCCGGTGATGTGAGATCGGAAGGCATTTTGATTTTTATGTCGTAACATTAAGGTGGCAAATCGCATGTCTCTTGTTATAATTAGCGTGTGTATAGTATAGAGCAAGGGCAGCAAGGTTGCATTATCAAGTACTGGTGCCGATGTCGATGTGCCGGATTAAAAGATCGATGTCACGGGTCACATTGTGGAAGAGCTGGGAAATATCGTTACCAAGGTGAGTGAGTGTGTTCTGTTACTTAATTCACCTTATTACTAACGATTGGGTATCGGAACTAGTCTAGTCAATCTGAGGTAAAAATATGTAAAAAAAAATATATAAGAATACAGTATAATAATTTAGTGTTTGTATCTAATAATGTTACATATGTAATTTTACCTATGTTGGACTGGGATTTTTAATAAAAAAGAATGTGCCAACTACGTTACTTGCCTTGCATCTCATAGAGGTGACTAACATGATATTGTGTTTGTGTTTGTGTTAGCGATGGGTTAGCCTATCATTATTTTCTCAATTTTCCATCTAAAACCACTTTTTTTTTATTAAACCTCGGGAATTAAAAGTGTGAATTTATGTTATGTATTATTTTTATAAATTTTCAATATTAAAACTTTGAACTACCTTTTTTTTTTAAATATGTCCCGCTAGGTCTTTCTTACTGGTTGTTCCCGGGACTGAGGTATTTTCCGAACCAGTGGTAAATTAGATACCTAAACATAAGAGTGACTTTCAGTAAGTATTATTTAAAATCTATATTAAATAAAAAAAATTCTAGATATTTCTATTTCTATTCAACAGTCTCGTTATTAAGGGTATGTACTAATTACAATTAAATTAAAATTGACCTCACTTAGGCCTAAAGCGTTAATGACCACCGATTGTAGTTACACTATAAGTTTTCCGTGTTGTGTAATATTGTTGTAATATAAAAATATAATTATATTAATATAGTAAAAGTGATTATTATTTAAAAGGAATTCTCATATAAGCAATATTTCGAAACCACAAACGACAGGGTCTCGAGTAACATGTAATGAAATGTTAACATCCGGGGATCCCGGTCCCCTGTTCCCATAGTTTGCAACTTACGGTAATAAAATTTCGAAGAGATTTACATAGTCATGTAAATCGGAAGAATTGTTAGCCCTTGGTAATGTAAATTGTGTAAAGAATATACTGTGCAATAATAGGATGTATGAGCTTCCTAAATAAGAGAAGTAGTCATAGTAAATTATGTGCCGTGTAGCGGCGGCGAAGGAGAAACTACCACCCCATCATCTCGTGAGTGGCATAAGAGATGACAGAGGGAAACAGCGGGAAAATAATAAAAAATACAGCTCCAAGACGCCTGATAAGTAATGCTACTGTGGCGAATCTTCTCCTGTAAGACAATTTATGACAGAGGATTATGTTCGGCAGTTGACTTTTAATGGACTGAATGAGTGGATGAATAATAATTTGAAATTAAAAATTTTGTACTACCGACTTCAATATAAACTATTAATAATAACTCAAAAACTTGGTCAGAACTTGATCAAATATATATGGAACCACGTGTATAGCACCAGCTTTCAAATAAAAAAAG